AGGAGCTCCATCCACATCTTTTTTCAACTCCTCAAAGGCTGCTGGCTGGCTGGGACAAGGCTCAGGTCTGCTCTTGGTCACTCAGTGGTCCCCCAACCCTGGAGCAATCCCTTTCCAGTTTCAGAGGGCCCTTCCAGGCACAGTCCAGAATGAGATTGCTGTGCCCAGACTCCATCTTTGCCAGACACTCAATTCAGACCTGGGCTCTTTACCACCTTTCATCCTCCACCCCCAGTAGCTCCCCTCCTCCCAGTGCTGGGCAGCAGCACCCCAGTGGCAGGAAGTAAGAGCATGGAGTACGGCAGGTGGTTCTCTGCTATAGTGACCACAGGACTCACCTGGCCCTTGTCCTGCCACACTGCACGGATCTCACTGCCCTTCCTGGATTGGCAGAAAGCCCCCACTCCCCTGCAGAAGGGCACGTCCTCTCCGTGCTCATCATTCAGAACTGTGGGGTCTTTGATAATTTTGTGCACTTACACTCAGTGTCTTCAGCTGGAAGGGTGGTGCATGCCTGACTGTCCCATCAGGCGGCTGTACCCATGGTGGTAGAAATGTATGTACCACCGGTGGTTCAGGCCACCTGGCAGGGAGATACACGAATTACGGCCCTGTCATAACTTCAGTCTACTGTAATTAAGCCCATGAGTTTAAATGCCCCTGCTTTTCTGTCTTCCTCTGGGACCTATTTTCTATCATACTGGTATCTTTGTTGCTTTTCCCAAAAAAACTCTTGTAGTTCTTCTGTTTTTTACATAGTGACCATAATTTATCAAGTTATTCCTGAGAAATATCCCCTTCCCAGTCGTTCTCCCTTTGTAAGCTGTAACTGATGACAGAGTTTCATACTGCCTGCCAGTGTCGGCTGACCCTTTTCTGTGATTAATCTTTCTGTGTTTAGTGAGCTCTGTTATTCAAATGAAAGTAAGGTCACTGTGTTTCGGTGTCTCTAGTGATTTATCAAAGAGCATTGAAAAACTGGACGCGGATACAGGAGGTTCAGATGAGGAAAGCAAGCTGACGTCCTTCCTACACCGTGAGACGGGTGGTGCGTCCCCCCAGTGGCAGGCTGTGGGGCAAGGGGCCAAGCTGCAGTTCCTCGGCTTCCTGGCAATGCACACTTGAGCCGTGACCCATTCTGAAACTCATGCTTCTCTGAAGAAGAGAATTCCAGCCTTTTAGGCTTGGTGGATGTAAAGCTTCTGCTGTGATGTGGAAGCCGCCTGTACGTAGGTGTTCCCAAAAGGCTGTCTTCCTCTTCAGGCTTTATCCCTGATGGTCACTCGGCGATCTCGTTGTTCTCTTCTTTTTTTTGAAATGGAATTAGTCAGAATCACAAGATCAGAAGCACCTAGGTCCGTTACCTGCTAAGGATTTATTTTCTCTTTTAAAGAAATAATATTTATTTATCTTCAGTGTTCTAAGACTTTACTCAGATGTTGAATTTATCCTCTTAGGAATAAAAGCTGCAGTTGGAGGAGCAGAGAGTTAGTTTTTTGTTTTTTGTTTTTTTTGCCTGTTCAACCACTGCATCAACAAGATTATTTCATTTGCCCTCTGGCTCCCTCCCGAGGCCCAGAGTTCAGTCCCCAGATGGGAGAAGGAATAAACAGAGACAAACATCTTTGTTTGTTCTATTTTTGTCTTTGTAACATGTGATCCACAGCCCGTTTTTATGAAAGAGTATTGAGCAAGCCCTAATTAACCTGCTCCTGGAGCCAATGGCTGAGGTGTTGACATGGGCGTCTTCTGTGATTTCCTTTCTATTCCATACTTTAAATAAGCAAATCTGTGTCCTGAGCTAAGGAGTCCACATCTACAAGTAAGAGGGAGTCAGGAAGTACAGCCCTTTCTAGGGATTGAGGCTCAGGGACACTGGAAAAAGGGTCAGAGAGATGCTGTCAGCCTGGTCTCTCCAGGGCGGAGATTCCCCGGGAGGCCATCGGCCCCTGGCCAGCCTCACAGACCCCCATGGGAAAGACTTCCCCTCTTTGAGCTCAGCAGCCCCCGTCCCATCGGAGACCTAGCAGCACCCTCTGAACCCCCTCCTCGGTCCGCATTCCATCCAAAGCACATATTCGGAGCCACCTTCATAACTTCACTTGTAAAATACACAGTAAAGTCTACACTCGCGTGTTCTTTTTAAGTCCTGGGGAGGGGTGGAGGCCAGGAGGTGGCCTCGGAAGCTGGTCCCTCCAGCCACACCTGTGTATTGCTGTGGACGCTCTTTGGGGTATCTTTCACCTTGACTCATTTCATCATCGTCACAGCTGGTAAAGTAATGAAGATAAAAATATTTATCCTGCCTACAGAGAAGGAAAAAGGTCCCCGTGACACTGCTAAATTCTGGTCGTGGGCTAGGTAACCTGGAGGAGAAAATAAAGCACCTTCCTCCCACCTCTGACGCTCAGCTGCAACTGCCAGCTCTGCTCAGGGCACCCTGAGGACCCTGTGGACAGCGGCTGG